TTCCCCCTAGGGGATCAATAAAGTCTTCTTCTTCTTAATAAATATTTACACCCAGAAACTGTTGCATAGCTAACTGAACCAACTGACAAAACTAGCCTTAGCTCGCTGATATGGCCTGTTTAGACTAGAGTGTGTCAGATATATCTGAGCAGAATGTTTTATAATTATGTGTATTTTTGCAAAATGTAATTATGAAATAATTGATGAGTGCAGCACATCAAACTGTAGCAGCATCATAAATCAACTGTATATACCCTCAGTTGTTGAAATACTGGACTCCCATGCCCATTCATCAGGGTCCTCTCTCGCAGTCTAAGCTGGCACACAGTCCACAGCTGTTTGCTAAATACAATGAAGCTATTCTAATAGCACATCAGGCAGATACACAGAGACAGAGAGAGAGATACACAATACCACATAATAGCTTTGGGGTCAGGTTTAGGCTTGAGTCACTTCCTGTAGGAGGCAGATGGTGGTTTAAATTTTGACCTTTGCCCCCCAGGAGCTCACTAGCTTGGACAGGAAAAAGACAGACAGAGGCAACTGCGAGGAGTTGAGAGAGTGGGGGGAGCAGAGATAAAGGAGATATCACAGCGAGGAAGGAGACAGGGACGGAGCATGAATGAATCCTGCAGCTCACTGTCATGTCAAAACTTGTGATAGCTGCCATGGCTACCAACTGGGATGAAATGATATTACAGCATCTCTGTCTGCTACAGTTTTGGTACATCATTCATGTGCCAGAGCCGACTGCAGGACAAGTGAAGAGAGGGGGAAACCGGACGATACGGAAAAGAACTGGTCCACAACATCCCTAGCGGGAATAGCATACAGTACAGAGGAAAGATGTGCTTTCAGCCTGGATTTGATCTCAACAGAGCTTGCATCCAGAATATGCAGCAAACACTGTCTTCCAAATAGGTAGGGCTCAATGGGCAAATGCTCCTACTTAAATTGGAGAACAGTTAATCAGCATCAAAAGAATGTAAAGGACATGATGGAGTATGTAGAGTCATACTTAAAGACTGGAGATGCGGGGAGGAGCCGGTCAATGACCTTATACCATTACTTACAATTACTGCACCATGACAAACAGCTACTGTTAACTTAGCTAATACTCTCATTCAGTTGTGGTCAATTAGCTCATATTTGTAGAAGTTGATTTTTTTTAATTCTTAAAAAAAATTAAAATAATAGGACATACAACATATTTGTTAAATACAATCCAGAAAAGTATCACTTTGGTACCAACATTAAAACCAGGGTTGGGAGGATTACTTTAAAAATGTAATCCGATACAGTGTAGTCAGTAACCTAATCCAAGTATCACAATATTGAATTACCTCATTTGGATTACTTCAACACAAAATATGCAAATAAAGACAAGAGAAGAAAAATGTCAATAAAAAGTATTGATGCAAGTATATTCTATAAGACAGCAATGTGACCTTAGAAAAAGAAATTTAAAGATTTTTAGCAAAAATATGTTCTCTCTCTGTAATGGATTACAGTTACCTTTTTGTATCCTGACTACGTAACGCAGTAACATGTATCAGACACATATTGCTCCAGGCAGACTATGTGTGTATGTTTCTGGAAGGGCTCCTTAAAGAGTAACTTTTCATTCAATCCTGAACTCTTTAATAAACTTTTATTAGATTAGGAAAAATTAGAAAATTCATTACTACTTCAGAAAATCACATTTATTGCAATTTCATAAAATTCAAACTCTACAGAATGCCACTGTTATCAATACATTCAAGTCAAAACATGGTGAACATAGACAGACCTCTAGTGTTCCATTTACGTTACTACATCCAGATGTGACAGGAATGTATACACATAAACATGGTTTCAGTTGCACTGTCAACTTTTGAATAAATAACTGTAACAGTGTTTAAGTGATGGAGAGATGGACAATGTATTCCCCGCCAGTTTCTCAGTGCTTGTGTGATGCAGACTCCATGCAGTTTAGAAGCCGGTCTCTGCCAAAGACCCGTAGCTGGAGAAATAGAAGAAGAAGAGGAGGGATGATGAGAAAGTTAAAGAAGATGAAGAAAAAACAGTGTTAGTTCATTCATTTATCCACGCTACCTCTTGTTGTGTCGGCGGAGAGCAGCTTTGATAATCTCCCTCAGCAGAGTCTCCTTGTTGTTCTGCATGTTGAATTTCGCCGTCTCCAGCACAAACTCAATCTTCTTCTGGCTGAAGGGACGCTGGAAGGTGGAGAACTCCTCCACTTTTGCTTTGAAATCTTCAGCATCTGGACCAGAATGAAACCATTGGTGATCGCGGACATATTTGAAATAAGTATTTTTTATGCTGTCAGCATGGGCGTGAACAAACCTTTGCAGTTGCGTCTGTTGAAGAGCGGCATGTAAACGATCGTGGGCTCCTTCTCTTTTCCCTCGAACACATAGCAGTCGTTCGGCCAGTCTTTCTCATCCAGGATCTTGGCATCTATCTCTGGGAAAGGCTTCTTCACCTCGGCTGCGTAGTCTCTGGCAAGAGT